AATAACTTTCCAAATTGAATGCCTGTTTATTTAAACTTTATAGCTATTAGTTTTGTCTAGTTCTTTCCCAAATGAAAAAACTTATGAAGCAGTAGATTCATGCAACAGTTCAGTATGATTTAAAGCCAAAACAAATTAAACTCAACATTAAAGCATTTCATGATCTATTCTGGCCAAAATGATGCGTTTTCCTTCATTGGTGTAACCGCTACTCGGAGAACCAGCACCCAGTTACAAAGATCTAGTGTTATCCATACCTTCTTAGTGGTCCAAGGGCGCCCTCTGGCTGGAAGCTGTAAAAATTCAACTCTACACTAAATGAAATACTTTTTTTTTAACACTTTTTTTTTTAAAGCTGATGCTTTAAATACTTTTTTAAATTTACTTTAAATACTTTTTTTTTAAGCTGATGCTTTTCAAGTAAATTCTTAACAATTTATGAAATTAATCTTCTCTTTAATCACTGCTAGCATATTGTCAGAAAAAACAAATGTCACTTTACAAGGCCACCAGAATGTTCAGGTCTTACATTTCTCTAATTTACTGGGAATTGGAAAGAAAATCCAGGCTCTTTTCCCCAGAATTTACTTCACATAGTTCAATATAATTGTTGGCATGGATCACCTAGATAAGTATATTGATCTGTTTGTTTGTTCTGTCTACATAAAAGTCTATACTTTATTTAACATGCCACTGTAGCAGTTTGCCCAGTAATGTGTATCACCAACATTAAATATTTATTGGGTATCGCTGTGTACAGGACACTGACTAGGTGAAAGGATGGGGAAAACAGTTCTTTATCCTCAGAGAAACGGCAATCTACTTTTTTAAAAAGGATGTGAAAAAAGAAATACAGGGTAAGATGTGCATTGAAAAAGATAAGCTTCTCTCAATTTGCTTTCTCTGTTACCTTGGGAAAGGTTATTCAACTTCTGTGAACTTCAGTTTATCTGTAATATGGAGATAAAAGCCATCTCAAAGCAAAGTTGTACAAGTTAACTGAAATATGCGCAAAGGACTCAGCGCATAGTAAATGCCTGGTAAAAGGTGGTTGTTTTTATTTATTAATATTAAGAGAAATCTTAAATAATAGCATCCTACATTAAATTTCACTTGCTTCAAATGGAAAGATATGTAAACAAAATATTTTCTATTTTATTTTTNGACACGACTGAGCGACTGAACTGAACATTTCTAACAAAAGCAGCCCAAGAACAGAATCATGGTCATCAAAAGAATCTTAGCAATTTCTAGTGTAATCTTTTTCTTTTTAGAAATAAGAACTTAGAAAACATCTCCCTAACATTACAAAGCACTTAAAATTTATTTTGTGAATTTTAATAATTTCTCAGGGAGGGCAAGCCTGTAACAATTTTTTTTTTAAACTCAGTTTGTACGTGGGGAAACAAACAGAAACTAAGCACAGTATAGGGTTTCCCTGGTGGTAGGAATCCACCTGCCAGTGGAAGGGGCACAGGTTTGATCCTTGGTCTGGGAAAATCCCACATACCAGGGCAACTAAGCCAACTACTGGGTCAGCACTCTACAGCCCTGGAGCTGCAACTACTGAGCCTGTGTGATACAACTACTGAAGCCCCTGCGCCTTGAGCCTGTGCTCCACAGAGAAGCCTCCACAATGAGAAGCCCGTGCAAGGCAAAGAAGAGTTGACCCCACTCGCTGCACCTAGAGAAAGCTGCTTGCAACCATAAATAATGTTGTTTTTTTTTTAAAAAAAAAACTAAGCACAATATAAAACTTTCACTAAGAAAAAATAATTAAAGCTAGGCTAAAGACTACATGTATCATCTCACTTAATTCTCACAATAACCTGATACAGGTGTTATTTTCTCCATTTAACAAATGGGGAAACTGAGTCACTAATCACTTATGTAACTTACCACTGTCCTGCAACTAGTCAACAGCAGACTCAAATCCAGGCTGTCTGATTCCAGATCCAGTGCTCTCAACTTCTATATATATCTATTACTGAAAAGTGACAATTCTCTAAATATCCATGAGTCTGACATAAATAAATGATTGTATAAATAAATGAGGGGAAAGGATGGCTTTTTTACAGAAGAATTCCAAATAATAACTGTAGAAGGAATGAGGAAAATAATTACCATTAGGTAAACACCAACTTTTGCAAGCAAGAACCATCAACAGATTCCTGTTGATGGATTACCTGTTAAAATTAACAGGTAAATGATAAGAATAGGATATTTGCAACTTATCGAGGCATCTCTCCATATGGTATTTATTAAATATAAGGAGAAAAACAGTAAATTTACAGTGGAGAAACCAGCAGACACCACCTAAACAAAGTGATCAAAGTTAACATCACTGCCAGAAGGGTAGAATCACTGTAATTACTGAATGTGCAGACAGAACTTTCCATGAAAAAAATTTTTACTTAATGATTTAAAGCTCTTCAATACTTTTGCTGCCATAAAGTTTGGTACTAAACTACCAACTGTGACAAAAACTTAACAAATTCTGCTTGATTTGCGACTAGGTAGGCACTAAGTCTCTAAAATCACTTGAAGCATTTTTACTGTTCTGTCTTCATGAAAACTGTACCCTTTAAAGAAATTTACGATGAGACAGCCGAAATATTCCCATTAATATTTTTATTATTATATAGTAATGCAAGATACAGTTATTATGGAAATTATATTTGGAAGCTATAGTTTACAACTTCTGAAATCCATTCTATTTTTAAATATTATTAACCAAGGAAACTGAAATATGCCATAAGCAAAAAATAAAAGGTATGTGTATCTTTTGATTTCAAATAATTAAAGCTGATATTTATTGAGTCTTTACTATGTACCAGGCACAGTTTTTTCCCTGCACATTATTTAATTCTTACAATTTCCTAAGGTTGATTATATTACCACCACTTATCAGATGAGTAAATGGTTACAAAGGTTAAAAATATTGTATAAGGATGGGTTGTCTGACACAAGCAATACTGTCATTCTTTTTCTAAATATTGTTTTCAATTGCTAACAAGCAGAAAATCTAATTAATTTGAGTTTCATTGACTTTTATCTTCACTTTCCTCCTAGGCAGATGTATGTTAACACACACCAACAAGAATGGTAAATAATTACTAATCCAAGATAACTAAGAGTTGGCCATATTGTTATTATAATTATACTGAACTTATTTACATACCCTTTGTTTTATATCAAACTTTGAGTTCTTATGGAGGAAAATCATGATTTTGATTAAATATAAAATGGGCAGTTAAACTTCAGATAATACACACTTTGTAAGAAGCTGAAGCACATGTCATTACTCAGGTAATCATTCTTGATTATTTCATTTACACACATATTTGCAAGTCTAAACAAAATGTACACATATAAACATCATATTTAAGCTTCTAAAAATTTATTTTAATTGGAGAATACTTTACAATATTGTGATGGTTTTTGCCATACACCAATATGAACTGACCACAGGTCTATGTGTCCCCTCCATCCTGAAGCCCCCTCCCACTTCCCTCCCCCACGACCCCTCCAGGTGTCACAGACCACTGGCTTTGGGTGCCCTGCGTCATTCATCAAACTCCCTCTGGCTATCTGTTTTACATATGGTAATATATATGTTTCAGTGCTATTCTCTCATATCATCCCACCTTCTCCTTCTCCCACTGAGTCCAAAGTCCATTCTTTACATCTGTAAACACCATATTTTTTAATGTTCTGTTTTCCACCATCAAAGCACTGATTCCTTGAATCTAGCAAAAAAAAAATTTTTCAAATAACTGCATCAGAAAGTTTATAATTAACATAATCATTTATATTTGAAGATTGTTGCATTTATTTTTCAAATTTGAAGTTTTTATCATTAAAAATGTCTTATTACAGTTTATTTACACCCTCAATTGTTAAAATAGAAGTAAGGTACTTCATGGGCTTCCCAAGTGGCACAAATGGTAAAGAACCTGCCTGCCAATGCATGAGATACAAGAGACACGGGTTCGATCCCTTGGCGGGGAAGATCCCCTTGAGAAGGACATGGCAATCCACTCCAGTATTCTTGCCTGGGAAATCCCATGGACAGAAGAGTCTGGTGGGCTACAGTCGTTAGGGTTGCAAAGAATCAGAGAGGACTGAAGCGAGTTAGTCCACACACAAGGTACTTCATATTAGCTTTTGGATTTGCCATGTCTTGCCTACAACAAAACAAGTCACTGGGCTTATGCTGGAGACTTGATCATTCCTTTTAGTCCTATTTTTAGAGGGATGGGAATACAAAAGAAGTTCTTAATCTAGAGACAGTTAAAATGGCTTTTTTAGTTTTCTTCTAAAAGGAAATAGGCTGCCAAATTTCAGGATCATCACAACATCCATTAAATATATATCTTGTATAAAATGTTTACATTCTATTAAATACTGTATCTTAGCCACATATAAAATAACACTGCCAGTGACATCAGTGGAATTTCATGGGCAATGGAATGAGTCAGTAAGTCTTGTCAAAATAGGCATATTCCTCCCCCTCTAAAATGTTATAATTGTCTAAATACTTAAAAGGATGCAATGTCCATGTTGACAATTGTCTAAAAAAAGCACAAAGTTCATAGACAAGCCTTTCTTTCCTTGTTTCTTCTGAAAAATGAATAAAATGGAAAACAATCTTAAACCACATTGAAATTCAAATTATAGGTTGCTATTGTTGTCCAATTGCTAAGTTGTGTCCGACTCTTTGTGACCTGGTGAACTGTAGTCTGCTAGGCTCCTCTGTCCATGGGATTTTCCAGGCAAGAATACTGGCGTGGGCTGCCATTTCCTCCTCCAGGGGATCTTCCTGGATCAAGGATTGAACCTACAGCTCCTGCACAGGCATGTGTATTCTTTACCAATGAGCCACCCAGGAAGCCCAAATTAAAGATAAGAAAAAACAAAAACCAATGACATGAGAGAATTTTCAACTATTGATAACTTACAAGATCTGCAGTTACTTCTTTCATTAACAATTGTTTGCTGTTTTCTATATTTCAAATTGTATTATACTTTAAGTATTTATTATATTTAAAAATTCAAATAACATTTTAAAAAAGAACAGAATTTTTAGATATTAATATTTTTCTCATTTGTACCCATTTAAAGATTCATATTTTCACTTTAATATAATTTTTCTTGCAATATGTACCTCAAAAATAGAAAAGAAAGCCAAAAGGGAAGTTTTATTTATGCGGTAGAAAAGCTGAAAAGGAAAGAAACTTCAGAGGGGACAAAAACCTATGGTATTTCAAGCGGTTTCTGATCTATAAAGGATTTGAAAATTGTATACAAAGTTTTATAAAGTAAGCTTAACAGCCAGATTCATGTTAGTGTGCTCCGGGTGTAGCTTTAACTGTACACTTCACACAATAGAATGAAAGAATGATTTGGTGATGATGAATGTATTGATTAAACTGTGAGCCCAATAAACACTGGTTACTTTTTTGGTAGAAATATTTACAAGCAATTACAGTCACTGATTTCTTGCAGTTGTTTCTTGTTATGTTCCTGATTTTACAATTCCCCAACGCAAAGGTGCAGAAAACTAATATTTACCCTCCTTTTCGAAAAATGGCATGATGAAGAGAAGACTCGCAGGGTATAAACACAAATGCAGACTTTTGGAAGTTGATGGCTTTAAGATTCATTCTGTTAAGTTTTTGTCATTTCTCAAACTAAATTTTTGAGTTTTCCCTTAAAATCCCAGCGCTTCTTTGCATTAGCCCAACCAAGTACATGATCCCTACCCATTTTTGACCCTGTTCACTGCTCCTGCCCGCAGTTTCAGCATCGCAGGTCCCCGGTATCCCGGGCGAATTGAAGCCCACGGAGTCCAAAAACCCAGGGCCCCCAAAACTGGGAGGTTCCTGGTTCCGTTGGACCCACAGCCTGCGAGCTCCAGCGGCAGACCACAGCTCCAGGCTCTCTTAGGGGACCTGAGACCTCTCCCACAATATCCTGTTCCTTTTGTTTTTTGTTCAACAAACGTGTTCAACTTCCGATGCCCCTCAATCTTCGAAAAATCATTTCGGGCCTCACTTTGCAGGGCAGTGTCCTCGCCGTATTAACGACCCAAAGAAGCTTCGGAAGACGAATGTCAGGAGCTATTTAGCAGATATTACCAAACGCTGTCCCTCCAAGTGCCGCGCATCTGCGGGGAACATAAAGCCTCCTCCCTTCCCTTCATCTTTCACTACCACCCAAGAAAGCGTTAATGGCAAAGAGCGACCGCGGCGAAGCTCTGCCGTGCGTGCATCCAAGCCAGCCTTATGCCAAGTTCCTCCACACCGCGAGGCGCCACCTTCTCCCCAAGTCAGCAGGAGGGGTGGCAAGAAGCGGCCAGGCCTCGAGGCTAAGGGCGGGGAGGGGTCTGAGCATCGAGGCCTCAAAAACCTCCGGGCTGGAGGTGGATCGAGAATCACGTCCGGGACTGGCGGGGTGTCTCTGCTGAATTCTTGCATCCAGTCAGGAGACTGGGTACCCCGGACCGCGTAGCGGAACTACAACTCCCGAGACCACTGCTGCCCGGACTTCCGGAAGCCGGAGCTGGCCGGGGAGGAAGTTGCTGAGACCCGGCCAAAAGGACGGGGGTTAATTTAGCAAGAAAAACGGGGGGTGGGAAGAGCTTTAGGGCTAACCTGTCAATTCGCCACCATGAACGTGGTTTTTGCTGTAAAGCAATACATTTCCAAAATGATAGAGGACAGTGGACCTGGCATGAAAGTACTTCTCATGGATAAAGAGACGGTGAGTTTGCTTTTGCTCAGTGTTTGGGGAGGGGGGGGACCCTCCTCCCTTGCAATAGCTGGTCCCATGCCACTGTAGGGTTTAGCATTTAATTAAAGATTTGTAAGTTCAGCATGGAATGAAAGGCTTTATAAAGCTTGCCTAGATGGTTTTCATTCTGAATGATTCTAACTACTGCCAGAGAGTCTTCTTGTACCCAGAACAATTGATTGAAATCAGAAATCCTTTTCTAAATGCCTCTGCCAAGAAATGATATATAAGACAGACCACTGGGAAGACTTTGGGATGGTCCTGTTATTTCCACTCAGCGTTGTGTTTTTAAAGTAAAGCTATTAGAGCTCAAACTGAGATGACAGGTTATTATTTATCGGTCACAAAATTTTTTTTAAAAAAAGGTGGTGGGAAACTTTTTATTTGTTAATTTATGGGTTGTCCGTGTTCAGAGAGAGCATTTCATTCTGGTATATTACTTATTATTTTAGATGCTCAGTAAATGTTATTACATAGGTTAGTATTTAAGTTATCCCAGTAAGTAGTATTAATGAAAAAAAATTTTATTTAGCTCTTAGGTATTGCTACTTGTTTTTATTATTCTGGACTAGCATAATATTAGTTACTTTTTTTCTTTACAGACTGGCATAGTGAGTATGGTATACACACAATCGGAAATTCTCCAGAAGGAAGTGTACCTTTTTGAACGCATTGATTCTCAAAATCGAGAGATCATGAAACACCTGAAAGCAATTTGTTTTCTTCGACCTACCAAGGTATTACATAAACAGCTGTCATCTGCTTAGGCAAATACAGCACACTATGATCTGGAAGTATTATGAAGACAAAATAAGTTTCTGTTATCATCATTTGTGGCATCATAATTATACTGGCTTATCAGTTATAACCTTGACTTTCCTCCTTTCCATCTCTCAGTCATTCCTCACAGCTAGATTTCCTTCAAGATGTTATGTAGGTTCTCAGCTACTTGGAAAGCCGCTAACTGCCCTGAGACCCACATCTCTTTATTCTTAATGAAACTCCACACCTATCACACTGAACACCATTACCATTTAATCTTACATAGTTATGTCAGTGTTTTGAGTCTTTATCGTTTTATTCATATTTATGTTTAGGAATCTTTAATAGCTCAATTTTACTTCCCTGACATATTTAGTAGCCCTCAGAGCTCTCCTCTAGCTGACCTGGTCTGCCCTTATGTATTCAGGCTTGTATGTCCTGTCTCTGCTCCTCCACGGCAGCCAAATAGGCCTTTGTATGATCCTTCTACAGGCTCACTCCTGCCCTGTTTATTCTTTTCTCCTAATTAAAGGTTCTTTAGCCTTCTGTCAGTTTTCGTCCATTATCTTCGAAATCTAACTTGAATCCTCCTTTAAAAATCCTTTACTATTTGTCTTATTTTGTATATTCTCTTGATTTATATTCATGTTCTTAACTCCAGTGCTTGTATATTATGTACTTTCCAAGATGCAAATCTGACTGTTTCACCACGCTTGAAATCCTTGAATGATTTCTCATTGCTTTTATGATAAAGACACAACTCCTTCTTAAGTGTGGCCTACAAGTCCATGTATGGTCTAGTTCCTACTATTTCTATAGCCTCATTTCAGACCATTCCCCGTTTGGTCTTAGCCACACTGTTCTTTCAGTCTGCTACATTCCATCATGCCGCAGGACCTTTGCACTGGTTTCTCTGTTTGCCTGGACAATCTTCACTCCCTCAATCAAATCTTTCCTGGCCTTGCTGACCAGGTCAAACCCTCCTCTTATAAATACTTACAGCACCATCTTCTCTGGCCTATTACTTGTCATGGTTGAAGTCTCATATGATTTGTATGATTAATTACTATGTCTCATGTACCAGCAGTAAGTTCCAGGAGAGCAGAGATGATGTCCAAATTTTCACACTACTATGTCCCCAGTGTCTACCACATAGATACTCAATAACTAATTCTGAATTAATTAATGTATCAAGTATAATTCTTTTGTTATAGTAGTTTCCAATTGTTTCTTATTAGTCATGAAATTTTGGTTCTGAGAGGGGTCTTAAAGATAATTTAGTCCATCATTGCCAAACTTTTTTTTATTAGAGAAGCTCTTTCACAGCCTTATGTATATGTTCTCTCAAGCTTAAAATGTGTTCTTAGAAACAATTTTTCCTTACGATTACATTTAAAGTTAATTTTTTAAAGTTAATTTTTAATATGGTTTACAATTTAAATGACAGTTTTTAAGGTCTTTTATCCATTTAACAAGCAATATGTATTGCTTACATTACTTTTCATTCTGTAAGGAAATGTATGGTTTTTTAACATTCAAAAATGATATTTTATATCATGTATAGTTTGGAGATCAACTTTATACTGAAATTTAGCCATATGTTATAGTTTCAAAAGTAGATAAAACCTGCATTATGGTCTTACGTAATTGGAAGTATGTTTTGACCATTTGAAAATCAGTTGTTTTTTATTTCTAAATTTCATGTTTTATTTTTAAATAATGTGATTATACAAAAGGCCTTAGCCTACTGTTTATAAATACTTCAAAAATACTGCAGTTCTGCCTCTTTTGGTCCCAATAAGTTAAAAACCCAAGTGAATATAATTAACTATATTTTCTCTTGAATGTTGGTTTTTAAAGGACTAGACAAATTTTGACGTTCTACAAAAAAATAAGAATTTTGATCAGATGAATACAAATTTACAGACAAACAGCTTGAGGCAAATTTGCATAATTATTATCTATTTTATATTGTATTTCAACATCTATGTACTTTATATTTTATAATACCAATTTGGCCAGAGCAGTGCAGCTATATCACATATGATTTGATCATTATATTTAATGTATCTCTTTTATCCCCAGTCCTCACCCTTCCCAACATAGGCTCACTTAATCTAGACCTCAGCACAGTAGACTCTTAGTAAATACTTAAATAAATCAATGGATGATACATATGTATTACTTCATCACTTAAGCGGTTTTCCTCATTTTGTTTGTTTATTCTTTTCTAGGAGAATGTGGATTATCTGATTCAAGAGCTCCGAAGACCTAAATACAGTATATATTTTATTTGTAAGTATTTTTTCACCTGTTCAATCATATAACTAAATCCTAGCTAATATGTTCTACTAGGTACTGCATATCATCAGTAAATTAATTGAATCCAACACTCTTAAGAGTCTGGTGGGTGTTTTGTCCTTCAAAGTATTACCAGTGTTGGACCAACATTCTGTTTCTGAGAGCTGAATGTGGTTTCCACTCATCATTGACTGCTTAGGTTAAAAAAAAAAATGTAAGCTTTACCTTGCCTTTCAAATTTCTTTATAAGTCAAAAGTTGTAAGTAGTTAACTTTCACATTCCACCTTTGCCAAAAAATGTATATATACTTATTCCTATTTTACACTTATGAACTGAGGCATAGAAGCCAGTTTATTTATTTGGAGGGAGGATATAGTTGAGTTTGTTGGAAAAGCAGAGATTTACTTTATATACCATTCTTCTTCTCTTTAAAACTTTATGTAATACTTGAAAGTAAAAGTCATCAGATATGTATGTCCTATTTGCACCACTTTTGGGGAGGGAAAGAGAGGTGGAGGCCTGGAAATAAACTAGGTTTGTTTATTGTATGATTTGTTTAATCATATAATTTATATGTTTTTTTTTTATCTAATACATTTTGCTTTGGAAGTTACATCTTTTCTCCTCTAGATGTCATTATTGATCTTTATAACATTAATGTAGCTTACTTAAAAGTTTTGGAGTTTTGGGGTTTAGACTATAGTCTAAGACATACATACTTTCCTCAGGATATATTGCAATTTAATAATGGTACCAAATATTAACATTTGTGATAAGACACTGTATTTTATAAAAACTCTCTCATATATTATTTTATTCAGCCTTTAAAACAACCTCAGGAGGTAGAAATAGGCAATTGTATTCATTTCTATTATCCTACTTTTGTTTTTGTCATTTTCTTTTCGGTTAATAATCACAGGTTTTCATTTTCAATTAAACTTTTTCTTTTGAGATAATTGTAGATTCACATACAGTTGTAAGAAATAATACATAGATCCCATATACTGTTTACTCAGTGTCCCCTAACGAAGCATCTTACATGACTATAGTTCGGTATCACATCATGCCATATTGACATTGATACAGTAAGGATGCAAAGCATTTCCATCTTCCTAGGATCCCTCACATTGCATTTTTTCTACTTCCCTCCCATCCCAGCCTCCTCAGTAACCTCTGGCAACCACCAACCTATTTTCCATTTGTATAATTTTGTCATTTCAATAATGTTATATAAATGGAATCATGCAGTACATAACCTTCTGAAATTGGCTTTTTTTTTCATTCAGCATAATTCTCTAATGATTCATCCAGGTTGTTGTGTATCAATACTTGATT